ACTCGGTTACTGGTGTGTGATTCCTCATCTTCATATCTAGTCACACCTGGAAGGTCAGACAGTGGTCTCACTGAGATGGGCTTTCCCCAAAACTCTAATACCTGCCCAGGACCCAGGGGAAAGGGATAACATCTATATATTATACATAAAAATCTTCCAGATGGGAGTCAGTCCAGTTCTTGCTAATTAACATGCAACATCCAGTCATTTTTCATCTGTGTCCTCTGAAGGATATTAGATAGCGCAAGAGAAAGAATGGAGCAGAGGGTATAAGATAAATGCTGTCTCAGATGTATCTGAATTTAAATGCCCAATCTAATTCCCACTCAATGATTTTGAACGATTTAAAAAAAGAAATCTCCATATCTCCTCGGTATCTGGGTTAATAGTTTAATAATATCTTATGATTCTAAGATTTAATAATATCTAATGATTCTACTTTGGCCACCTGATATGAAGAACTGACTCATTGGGAAAGACACTGATGCTGGGAAAGATTGAAGGCAGGAGGAAAAAGGGATGACAGAGGATGAGATGGCTGGATGGCACCACCAACTCGATGGACATGAGTTTGAGCAAGCTCGAGGAGTTGGTGGTGGACAGGGAAGCCTGGCGTGATGCAGTCCATGGGGTCACAAAGAGTCAGACATGACTGAGTGACTGAACTTGATTCTAACAAGGAATAATGCTTTAATATATATAAAACCCCTAATGTAATGCTGCAAATCCCTACCCTCATTACAAAATCCCCTCAAGGTACTGAATTCTGATTTCAACGCTCCTTTACTCCACACAGCATTTGACTTAGGCTGATCTGCAGCTGCAGCACTTTGGAATCATCTATTGATGTCAGCGATTCACAAAAATGCTTTCTCCATCATCAGCTAGAACAACAGACAACTAAGAACCATCTAGTGGAAATACAGTGAAACACGATGGAAATGATAGTACTTAATTCAGGAAAAAGCAACAGGCAGTTAGCAATAATAAAAACAACTATCTTCTTTCAATGTTACAGTCAGTCTCTCAATAGAAATTATGTCTGCAATATGACAATATATGCCATCCCAATGAAGGTTTTTAAGACTCCGCATCATTAACTAGGGAATATCTTAAGAAAATCCATGGAATCAGCTTAGTCCGTATTTAGTCCAAACTCCAGTAGAGCCAATTCCCATCTTCTCTCACATGCCTATGGTGTGTATGACCCATCAGATGAGGAGAGAGCATTCCAGAAAGAAGGCACCTACAGATGGAAGGGAAAGAGTGGACTTGGCTAAAATCCAGGCTCCACATCCACCCTTCTGCTTTCTTTCCTTTAGATGCTGTGGAACAAAAGGCCAGGTTCTGAAACCAGAGAAGCTGAATGCACCTCTTAATCAGATTCAGTCATTCAGATCTGAAAATCCAGACCAACAGTGCCTGTGTTCCCTGGTAAAAGAAGTGGCATTAATTTCCTGCAGAGTGAACAGATGTTTTGAGTGTTCCTTTGAGACCTTCTCCTCATGTGGGTTGTCTGTAGAATAGGGAGAGCAATTAGACAGGAGACTTTTTCCTCTCCTTCCTTCTTCTCCCCACTGTCTCTACTTCATTAAATCTTAGACTAAAATATAATTATGTAAAAGCATTTGCTTATTTTCAATATGTATGTATGTTCCACATTTTGATTATCTATTTGTCATTAATGGACACAAATAGCTTCCACCTCCTACCTTTTTTGAATAATTTTGCCATGAACATACTATAAACATGAATATTCAAGACTCTTGGATGTATACTCAGAAGTAAAATTAGTGAATCATAGGGTAATTTTATTTCTAAATTTACTGAGAAATCACCATACTACTTTCCATAGAGAATGTGCCATTTTGCAATTCCTACCAACAGTGCACAATGGTTCCAACTTTTCCACATCTCTTTTCTATTTTACTTTTTTCCCCAATAAGAGCTATTCTAATGAGTGTAGGTGATATCTCAATGTGAATTTTATTTGCATTTCCCTAACAATTACTGATATTGAGCATCTTTCCATATGCTTGATGATCAATTGTATGTCTTCTTTATGGATGTCTGTTTAAGTCATTTACCACCCCCCCCCCCTTTTAATCAAGTTATTTGCTTTGTTGTTGTGCTTGTTGAGGATGATGGAATAAGATATTAAGAACTGGTGTGTGCATGTGTATGTGTGTGCGCATGTGTTTTAAGAAAAGATTTATGTTGTGTGCTCTACTAAAGTTTTAGATATAGGGAAGTTTTAAGATGTTTTAATATTTTTGCAATGCCAGTCATTACAACACTGATTTTGGAGAAGCTGAGAAAAGTGATTGGAGTTCATTCATATTTGGCTTTCTTCAACTTTAATGAGAATATGTATTTCAACTTTAATGAGACTATATATCTAAATAAGTCATGTGGTTCTTCTGTGTCCCACATGTTTCACTCATGTTTCTGTTTTCATATCAATAAATTTGCAATTACATCATAACTTGAAAGGCTAAGTGGTACCCATTCATTCATTCAACAAACTCACACATCATGCTTACTAGGTCTCTGGGCAATGTCCTATGGGTACAAGAGTGAATAAGACAAACATGATGGAAATTTGTCTTGCATAGAAAAGAATTAAAATGAACAAGTTTAAATATTACTGGTGATAACTATTTGTCATAATCACTATATAGGGTCTACCAGCTATTAAGGGTTTTCTGCATGAGAGTTCTTCCACCAGTATCCAGCTTTAATAGGACAGCAAACTAACACTAGAATTGTTTGAATCCAGCATATAGTCTAGGACTCTCTCCCAAAGCATAGGAATAGGATTCTGTATGATCTTAGATTTTACCTGTCAGGTTAGGAGGGGCCATGGAATCCTCACATTGCACATCAAACCACTGTCTATAGGTGTAAATGGACTTCATTTTGTCCTTTTTGTCTCACACTTTTTGTAAGGGCAGCGATTTATTTTATTTGGGATTTTCATTTTTTGTTTTGTTTTAATGGTTTCAAATGGTATGGATACTTTGGGGAGTAGAAATGGAACACAAACCTACACATCAGTAAAATGTCATAGAAAATAAGGACTGATGTGTCCACGGGGTCTCCTGTAAATATTCTCCTTTCTCTCTGGATTCTGGAGAAGAGTGAGAAATAATGAACAACTTGAGTATTTGGGGAAACCAAGTTGGAAAATGCAACTTGGTGGGAGAACCAGATATGCATGGAAATTGAACCCAGTAATCAGGACATCTCCTCTTCAAAGAACTCTGGACAATAAGGCTTTCCCACCCCTTTCACACTAGAGGGTAATCTGGGATGTTGTCAGTTGACACAGTAGGAAACAGTGACAGTAGGAGTTAAGAGGACTTGAGACTACAGCTGTATTTCCCCTAACTACATGTGTTATGAATGGCAAGATACTTATTGCTATGTTTCAGTGCCACCATGTACAGAGGGGTACAGTGAGTTGTGGCACAGAATTAGTGGAGATAATAAGAAAGTCAATATATATAAACATGACCAATGTCCCTCTATACTATACCAGCTATTTATTGAACACTATGTATCATGAGCTCTGAAGAGAGCTCAATAAAGGCCATGTATGATAGACATAAATAAACACAGAATAACAAAAATACCAAATACCAAACAGAAGGAAAAAATGTGGAAAGCATTCAGAAAAAAATGACTCATCCTTTACAAGGGAACCTCAGTAAGAACTTTGACTGACTTTTCATATGAAACAGCACATCTCAGAAGGCACCAGGATAAGTATCTAAGTTCTCAAAGGAAAAAAAGCCAACCAGGATACTACTGACATTAAAGAAATCATCCAAGGGAGGAGCCAAGATGACAGAGGAATAGGACGGGGAGACCACTTTCTCCCCTACAAATTCATCAAAAGAACATTTGAACGCTGAGCAAATTTCACAAAACAACTTCTGATCGCTAGCAGAGGACATCAGGCGCCCAGAAAAGCAGCCCATTGTCTTCAAAGGGAGGTAACCATTCAGTTCTAGATTCAGGCTGTCTGGGAGTAAAAATTTCTCTGGCCTTAGTTGCTTCAACTATGAAAGGAGGATATGTATGTCTATGTATCTATGTCTTAGGATTTTGTGAGTTAAAGTAGTTGATACGTGTAAAGTGTATCATATACAATGGACTATCTTAAGTATTAGCTCTTATTCTAGGTGTTTGGGTGGATAAATCTAAATAGATAATCAACCTAAAACTTATTTGATTAAAGATTAAAATTTAAATGTTGAAAGATTCAAAAACAAGTAAGTTATATTGTTAGTGGTTCAATTTTATTTATTTTTTATTATTGTTGTTGTTCAATTTTAACTAATTACAGATCTATTAGATTTTTAGGAAATGGACCAAACCTATAATGAATAGAGAATGCTGGCTCAGAGAGACTTTCCTCTGCCAATTTACAGAAATCCAGTCTCCCATTTTATAAGAATAGATTAAATGGCCAACTTCTCACTTGAGACATATGAGTAGAATTTTAATGCCAAATTTCTCTGATGGCCAAAAGCATAAAGCTCCAAATGGGATTGTTTTGTACTGAGAAGACATGATTAAAGCCATAGAAGTTATAAACCAAGTTTAAACTTAAATTTATCAAACTGTGCAATTCTACTTTAAAACTTCATACCTTGTTGACCTGGTTTTATTAAATGGCCAGAAAGAGATTGTAAGAAAATAGAGTAAGGCATATATTTTGGGAAAGAAGGAAGGAAACCAGTCCGTGTTCTCCAGAACCTTGCTTCTTTATGGTAATCAATCAAAACATAGTTCCCATGAGAACAGACTGTGTAAAGCAGAAAAGATAAACTGTTTTGGCAAATTAAAACAGAGAAAGACTGAGTTAACCTGAAAAGCTTCCTTAAAGAGGTACATCGTGGCTCAGTCCACCAATCCCCAACCACATGACTTAGGACTCCCAAGAGATGTCACATAGCATCTTCACCCAACTCACTATTTCGGCAGCAATCCTGTTCTAAGTAGTGTATCTGAAGCAACTCCTCAAAGAATTTCAGAGAGGAACTGCCACCATACTTTATGCCCCAGAACATGGACCACTTAAGTTAATACTTTCCTCAGAGCCAGCTTCACATCCTTGTTTCTCAAGGTATAAATCAAAGGATTAAGGGAAGGGGTGACAATATTATTTAACACTTGGATAACAGAGTCTAACCAGCGGCTAGAATCAGGCCAAAGATAGATGAGCATCACAGGCCCATAGAACAAGATGATTGAAATCAGGTGGGCACTGCAGGTTGAAAAAGCTCGGCGCCTGCCTTCGGAGGATCTGATTTTGAAAATGGAAAGGACAATGCAACCATAGGAAGTAAAAATAAGGATAAGACATGTAAGAGTCACAAAATCCACATCAGTGAAGCTTACCATCTGAGCTAGAGAGGTGTCTGCACAGGCCAGGGGTAGCACCACTGGGATGTCACAGAAGAAATTGTCCACCTCATTGGGGCCACAGTAGGGTAACTTAAAGACAAGAAATGTGAGGATACTTCCATGTAGGCAGCCACCCAGCCAAGAGCCCACTGTCAAGGTGGTACACACTCTAGGGTTCATGATAACCATGTATCGCAAAGGATGACAAATAGCCACAAAGCGGTCATAGGCCATCACAGTGTAGAGGAAACACTCGGTACCACCCAGGAAGTGGTAAAAGAAGAGCTGGGAGGCACAACCCTGGTAAGAGATGGTTCAGCTTTGGCCCATTAGGTAGAGCATCATTTTGGGGGAACTCACTGAAGGGAAAAAGATGTCAAACACTGACAGGTTCCCCAGGAAGAAATACATGGGGGTGTGGAGGTTGGAAGAAACCAGAATGGTGAGGAAGATGAGCAGGTTTCCCAGTAAAGTGAAGAGATAGAACATCAGAAACAGGATGAATAGCAAGTTCTCCAGCCCTCCAGTGTTAGGAATTCCCAGCAATATGAACTCTGACACGGAAGTGTAGTTCTGCATGTCTGTGCACCAGGCAGCCCTGGAAAAGCAAAGCATTCATGATATAAGACCGCAAATAACTGAGAAAATATCTTCCTAGTAGAGTTATTTCTCAAGCAGTGGCTGTGAGCAAAAAAACATCAAAGAGGAAAAGGAAATCAGTAATAAATCCAGGCCTGCAGCTAAATAATGTGTTACATTTGGCCTCAGTATTTTTCATATGCAAAATTACATAGAATAATTTATCTCTATAGTTGACAAACCTCACAGTAATCAATACTTATTATAGGTTTTAAGTAGTTTCTCCCAATCCAGTTTATCATCACACAGACTGGTATATTACAGAAGCATCTTCTCCAAGGAAAATTTGGAATCAGATGGCAAACTTGTTTTGTATTATAAACCAAGTCATAATTAGTTGCTTAATAGACCAACTGGGCTTGTCTAGTGGCTCAGCTAGTAAAGAATTTGCCTGCAAATCAGGAGGCCCTGCTTTGATTCCTAGGTCAGGAAGAGATAGGCTGGAGAAGGGATAGGCTACCCACTCCAGTATTGTTGGGCTTCCCAGGTTGCTCAACTGGTAAAGAATCAGCCTGCAATGTAGAAGACGTGGGTTTGATCCCTAGGTTGGGAAGATCCTCTGGAGAAGTGCGTGGCAACCAACTCTAGTATTCTTGCCTAGAGAATCCCAAGGAAAGAGGATCTTGGTGGGCTACAGTCCATGGGGTCGCAAAGAGTCAGACATGACTGAGCGACTAAGCACAGCAAAGCGATAGACCAACTATCCAAGTATATGCATATAAAAATGTGAACCTAAACAGAAATTATACTCACCTATTTATTCTTACTTTCAACAATAGTGTTTTCCATTGTTTAGCATTTACATTCAAGAAAAGATATACAATTCATATTTATAACATGCTCACACACACACAGGAATTACACCAAGTCTAGAAGAAAGCCTCCTGTAAGGAACAGAAATAATATTGCATCCCACCAGAAATATGTCCCTCCTCAGGAAGACTTTATTTCTATACTACATATCTCATACATGTAAGTTTCAATGACATTATTATTTTTTAACTTCATTAATTAATGTCAGTCAGATAAGCCTAAAGATCCTCAATTATTTTTTCTGAAGGCCCAATATCTTCTTTTTTTCCTTTGAATCAAATTTTATGTTAGCCTTCCACATGTTGTCACTTGGATGTAACTGATTTTTCTCTGCCTGTGATCATGATTTGCTCATAGGAAATAATCTGATAGATCTATTAATATTAATTTATAAATTGCTAATCTCTTACCATTTCCTACATTGTTTTGTTTTATAAGAATAAAGTCTTATAGCCATACAAGAAAAAAAGCTCAATAAATAGAATTTATGGCAAAGATGAAGAAGTGGAGAAAATAGGAGCTCTTAAGAATATTCTTGAAATCAATCTATAGAACCAGGGCCCTGTATAAAGCTTCTCCTGCACAAAACATTTGAGTAGATTGTGATTCTGGCAAAAATACAAACAGGAAAGCAAAAAAAAACTCCTTTCCAGCCCCAAATATAATTTACACATTGAGTTTAAGCCTCAACAATCAATTTAATCTCACAAACATTAATTTTCTTTCCACCTGTTAGAAATATAAAGATGAATAAAATAAAGTGTTAGCCCCTAAAGAACTTACTCTAATGGAAAACTGGTTTCTAACTCTGACCCTGACTCTATCATTTTCTACCTCTGGGCCATAAGAAACTCACTTAACCTATCTGAGTCTCAACTCTTACAAAAGAATAGTGGATAAACATATTTTCTGCCTCATAAAGTCTTTGTGAAGATTGAATGAGATAACAAAAATAAAATTCCTTGCCAGTGCTTGGCACTTAGTAGTAAATGTTCAATATTAAAGACTAACCTCATGCATATAAGAAAATGGTAATGTAGTTAAAATCATTGAAGGTGTGATGAAGATATAATTAGAAATGGACTTGAAAAGGGATTGCAAGATTTGAAAAAATGTAGAGTAAACATAGTCAACTGATCTTTGACAAAAGAGCAAAGGCAATGCAATGAGAAAAAATAGTCTTTTTAAACTAATGATTCCGGAACAACAGGACATCTCTCTCTGACACACGTAAATACACAAAATGTATCTAGACACAGACCTTACACTCTCCACAAATATCAACTCCAAATGAATAACAAACCTGAATGTGAAATGCAAAACTACTGAACTCCTAGATGATAATTTAGGAGAAAATCTAAATGATCTTGGATATGGCAATGAGTTTTTAGATATAGCACCAAAGGCACAATTCATAAGAGAAATAACTGATACACTGAACTTCATTAAAATAAAAAAAAAAAAACTTGTTTTGCCAAAGACACAGCCAAGAGAATGAGAAGATAAGCTACAGAATGAGAGAAAATATTTTGTAAAAGACAACATCAGACAAAGGACTAATGTTATGAAGAACTCTTAAAATTCAGCAATAAGAAAACCAACAACCCAATTAAAAATTAGCCCAAAGATCTTAACAGATACCTCACCAAAGAAGACAAATATGCAGCTGGAAAATAAGGACATAAAAGGATGTTCCACATTATGTCATCAGGGAAATACAAATTAAAACAAATAGATAACACTACAAACTTAGAATGCCCAAAGTCTAAAATACTGACAATAACCAAATACTAGTGAGAATGTGAACTAACAGGAACTCTCATTTCTGGTAGACATGCAAAATGGCGCAGTCACTTTTGTAAGACAGGCAGTTTCTTATGAATCTCAATATATTCTTACCATGATCCAGCAGCCATGGTCCTTGATATGGAGTTGAAAACATATATTAACACAGAAGTCTGCACTTTGGTGTTTATATAAACTTTATTCATAATTGCCAAAACTTGGAAGCAACCAAGATGTCCTTTGGTAAGTGAATGGATAAACTATGGTATATCCAGACAATGGAACATCATTAAGTGCTATAAAGAAATGAGCCATCAACCTATGCAAAGACATGGAGGAATAATAAGGCTGTATTACTAAGTGAAAGAAGGCTATCTGAAAGAGCTACAACCTTTATCATTCCAACCATATGACATTCTGGAGACAGTAAAAAGATTACCGGTCGGCAGGGAATGGATAGGTGGAACACAAAGGACTTTTAGGTCAGTGAAAATACATTGTATGGAATGGTAGATAGATGCTATCATATATTTCTTCAAATCCATTGAATGGACAAAACTGAAAGTGGACCCCAAAGTAAACTATGGACTTCAGGTAATTATGATGTATCAGGGTAGCTTTATCTTTTATAGCAAGTGTACCCTCTTAATAGGGATGTTTGATAATGGGACAGGTTGTGCATATGGAAGGGCCTAGGGTATATGAGAAATCTGTACTGTAAACCAAAAACTTATCTAAAAAATAAAGCTTTTTTAAAAATAGCAAAGAAAAACACACAAGTCAGTAAAAATGTTCTTTTCATCAGACCTTCAACAGAGGATTATGTAAATATCTGCCAGAATTAAAAGATATCTTGTAGGCTAGAGGTGCATAAATTCTCCTTTTACCTGAACTTTATTTGTTTCTAACTCAACAGTCAAATTCACAAAGGTGTTTGTTCCAAACATGCCATCAGCAAAAGTATAAATTTCACAAATTACCTTAGGTTCACTTTCAAACTTCTCATTGAGTTAACACTCAATGCCTTATCTCCATCCAAATCTATTCTCAGGAAAGAATTTGACATACCAGGGACAAAAAATTCTAAGAACAGATAATAACAGATTTTCAAGCAGAAATTTTTACCTCTTAGGGAAACAGAAGAAGGAATTATTTTGTTGAAAAGAAGACTAAACTATATGTTTTCTTCCAACTCTGAATTCTAAAATTTTATATTATTAACATTTTATAAATTTTGTGGCTTTCACTATCACCACATTCAAAGATATTTGCATTTTAACCTTCAGGGTTCAATGACAGAATGAAAGTACATATGCCTGCTAAAGGATGTTCTCATATTGATAAGAGGAGTAGATTGATATTGATTAAAAGGGTAGATGTTAAGAGTGGGGATAGTTTTTATTTTTTATACTAACTGCAAAAGGGAATTCATAAACAAAGAATCTCTCTGCTTCAATCTCATCCACCTTCCTCATACAAACCATTCTCCTACCACATGAGCACACTTATCTCTGAGTCTCCCCCACTTCATGTCCTTCTCAGTGCTGACTTACTAATGAATCACAGGACTCTGCAACATATAAGAATTTTCATAACTTCCATAATTCTCCCTCCTCAGTTGGTTGAACAGGGGAAATGACCAGGACAAATAGAGTCAAAAGCAAAACAGAGAGAGAGAAAAGGAAGAAGCATAGTGTAAGCAGAACAAGAATTGAATAGAAGGAGGTAAAGTTTTAGACAAACATTAGCTAATGGAAAACACACCTAGCATGGGCAGAGGGATTTTTGTCAAGTTTTTAGGCAAGAGTATGTTTCTAAAGTCAAAAATCCATATTGGCGTAAGATGTCATGACATAGAGACAAGGTTCAGCACCTTGTGCTCTTGAGTCCAAGACACAAAGTTTCCACACTCAGCCCTGTCATGTAGTCTGGTCCTGAAATGCTGGGTTTATGATATTTTCAAACTGGAGAGTTTCTGTTGAGACACTATCCCCAGTGGCCCAATCTTAAACTTAAGAATCATGAATCAGCAAAGGGAGTAATTAGAGGTCCTCCTGTCTATCCTAACACCCGTTTCCCATTACACATCTCATTATTTCATAATATACTATAGATTTATTGTAAATGTAGCATTACAACTTTATAAACTATCTGGTAAATATTCAAAAGAATGAGAAAAATACCAGTATCTTTCCTTGACCTTATTTAATATGCTCTTTCCATTCACTATAAACACATTTATATTTTTAACTACTTACAATCATACCCTATATGTAGTTTTTCATAATTCCTTTTTAATATTAACTTTTTGATTAATAATTTTTCTTATATCTGTCAAAATAAGCACACATAGGTAGGTAGACAGATGTGTGTGTGTGTTAGCTTCTCAGTCATGTCCAACTCTTTGTGACCCCATGGACTGTAGCTCACCTGGCTCCTCTGTCCATGAGATTCTCCAGGCAAGAATGCTGGAGTGGGTTGCCATTTCCTTCTCCAGGGAATCTTCCCAGGATCAAAGGATCAAACCTGGGTCTCCTGCATTGCAGGTGGATTCTTTTTACCAACTAAGCCACCAGGAAAGCCCAAGATAAAGCTTGAGACCCCACGTAAGAAATGATTACCCAGGGCTGGATTGGTCACTTTCTATATTGTGGTTTCTATATTAGGAAGCTTAAAAAAACTCTAAGAGGGTTTTTAGCAGCCTTATATTTGAGTGTATTATTGGAAAGAGGACATGTGAAGAGATAACACCAACTATCATGGGGAGGGTGGCTGGAGGAGCTTGAATACATTGAGAAAAACAAA